TCACATTCTTCAGAATGAGTGCAGCGTGGCTGCGTAGTGTTGCTGTGAGGACGACATGTCGTCTGCAGAGCGTTGACCTCAGCAGCTCTGATTCTCTCAGGCTGTCTGGTCTGAGACTGTTAACTTATTTATAGTTGGCTTGAGGAGAACATGTTGAATAATGCAATGGGGGCGAGGAGGCCTCAGTGGCTGAACTGCAGCTGTGTCAGTCATTAGTCCAGCTTCACATTCACCCGTTAAACCTATGTGTGAGGAATATAATGAACATCTTTTATGTAGTGAGGAGCGCTATGCCCATTAAAATGCACAAGCAATAATCATATTTAAATTATGAAAAACTTCATATCATGAATGGCCTGTAAGCTAGAGCTACATTTTTAATCATGACACAATTGCCTTATTAATGACACTTATAATTCAAAACCTCTTTTTAATGCATCAGTGCATTAAGTTTCCTTATATTCCTGATGATGTCAAACACACAGTCAGTTACAGAATATGAACTTTTATTGATATCTTACTGACTAAGTTAAAAGGGAAATCATTCATCCAGAAAAACATTTTTCTCTCAGTTTACAAAAAAAAAATCCTATCTCTCCATGCTAAAGGTTCCAGATCCACCTGTTTATCCAAATCCTTTTTAAAATGTAATGTATTATTTCCTTGGTTCTACTCTAGCCACCCACACAATTTCAGGGAAATCAGTTCAGTAGTTTTTGAGTATTCTTGCATAAAAAACAAAAGGCAATGTTAACATAACCTCCTTGGCAAAGGTAATCCATTGAAAAGGCAAACATTACAAATGACAAAAAAGAAAACAAATCTAATCCACTAATCTTATATTGTTTTTTTTCCTACTTTGAACAATTCAATTGAATTTGCATTGTGACCAAATCTTGATCAGCAGGAAATAAATGGCACCCATATTTATATAAGATTAGATTTGGTTAAATGTCACCCCACAGTATTTCATCAGTGATTGGCACTTAACACCAGTTTACAGTTAGATGCTGCACGTTAACCAGTGTATAACCTGCTTTTAGTTTTTCCGTGTTCACTCATTTTTAACTTTGTTATTTCACATCTACATATCCATCTACAAACCTGTTCTCTGCACTTGTTCAATTAAATCATAAATCCAGTGAGACACATCCTCATTTCAAAGTAACTAAATCAATAAGACACTTTATACCTGTAGAACTTCATTTTTTAAATGTGTCGTTCTCTTAAACAAAAGTGCTCTTGTTATAGACTCAATTGATCAATTTCCCCTTTTCCTATTTCTCTAAGCTTCTTCCCCTTCCCTTTAAATTCTCTACAAGCTGTGAACGCCCTGTAACTACAAATAAGTAAACACCGGTGACTTCATGTCACTGCATTTGGATGATGCAATCAATCATCTCATGTATTGAATATGCTCCTGTCTGTTTGAGATCAATCAGAACAGGCCTTAATTTGGGGTAACTAATAATTGACTAAGTAAAATTCAGAATGAATCGTCAGAATATACTTTTTTCAGCCATGTATATTTCCTCATCTGGAGTAGCTCACTTGAGTTTTTTTCCTGGTATATGTCAGATGCCAATGTCCCATTGGTTGTAATGTATCTCTGTTTGTATCTATTTCTGAACACAGATATGAACTGGGAAACAAGCTGTTATTTGGGACTATATACTGTGAGGTTATTGGTTGATTTAACTTTCGCTAGAATGGCACTTTAGATTGGCACTACAGACACTATTACTAAAGAAAGGGATTTAAAAAATCCTGGTTCCACCCCTTTGTCCAGGTCAGCACCAGATGTATAACTGTACAGGGGCTGAAATAAGCGTAAACCTCGTATTAAATCACATTGAAAAACGCTTGATCTGGATCCAATTAATTTGGATACAAACAAAATTGTATAATTACCAGTCTCATTATTGTGACTGATTTCTTTCATCGAGATTAATGTATTATTGTTATTTCACAATAATAAAGAGAGAGATGGAAAATTGATCTGCCTCTTTGTAGAGATTTGTGCCAAATGTTTGTTTTTTTGCCCATGTCACATCCTTTGACCAAGTTTTGTGGAAATCCAGTTTTTCTTGCATAAGATCATCTGAAAATATAAACAGACAAGTGGACAGGATGGAAAACATAACAAAACAGAAAATAGATCATTATTTTGTATAACCTTTCTCTTCAAGGAAAGTAATGAGCTGTGGCTGAGGGGTAGGGGGGTCAACCAGAAGGTCGGCAGTTTGATCCCAGTCTTCCCCATCTGCATGCCGAAGTGTCCTTGGCACTGTATGAATGTGTGTGTGAATGGCAAAACATTCATGTAAAGTGCTTTGAGTGGTCATCAAGACTAGACAAGCACAATATAAATACAAACCCTTTACCATCCTGATTAATCTAAATGTATGATATTTGAAAATTGTATTAAAACATATTTGTTTGTTATTGAAAAAGATATATGTGGTTTATTAGTCTGTATTACTTCAGTGCTTGTGCCAACCATACCAAAATCCTTGATATACAGTTCACAGTGTCAGTCTCAAATAAAGCTACAGAACCTGCATGTTTGTTGTCAGTTGTTTTTATTATTAACTTTAATTCAAATTAACAGCAAACAACAAAAAAAATACACACAACCAAGCATGTGCATATAGAAAATAAATCTGTTCTTTACCACTATGAAGTTTTGGGTGCAGGTTTGTGATGGTTTATTTACACCTCCCATTCACTTCTAATGGTTTTAGATCACTGCATTTTGACATTAAAATAACGTATTTTCTTTTAATTCGTCAAAGATTCAATATATATCTGATGAAATTGTTTTTATTAATTATTAATTAATTAATCTTATATCAATTATGAATTGGCTCTTATGTGTTAACCAGGGCTTAACCCCACAGAGCATCGGCCCTCCTTTTAGGATGGGTAACTAATAATTGAGCGGGTAACTAAATATTCAAAAACACTACGTAATCCCAGAGTACATTGCTCCACTGTCTGCATTACCTAATCCCAGAAACCACCGCGAAGGGGGCGTGGATACGGCTTGTTGTCAGAGCAACCTGCATGTCATTAGACCTACCCCGCCCAGCAAATCATCTCGAGCCAATCAGAGGCCGTAGAAATGACATCATTGTTATTTTCAGTGGCGCTGCAGCTTAGAGGTGGATAAAGTTCGTCTCCACGTTGGAAGTGATAGAAAGAATTATCCCTATTCAGCGTGTAGTTTCAAGACCGAGTGGAGGAGGATCGATCTAAAAGGGGAATTTGAAGTGTGAAAACTTTGACGCTCTGCGGTGGAGGAACGATTGTTTTTTTTGATCGATGATCGCTCGGGTCACAAGAGAAAAGTTTCCTCAGGACACCAAGTTGTCAAGTGAGTTGAACTTCAACAATAGGCGGAAAGAAGACAGAAGAGAGACCTGGAGTCACAGGACACATGTAAACAGTGGATTTCAGTTCGATTAAAGGACGTTAATCAAAGGAGAAACGAGTCTTCCCTCAAGGTGATTCAAACTTTATGTCCAGGAAAATGGAAGCGACCTTCTACGACGAAGCCGTGAACGCGTCAAACCCTCAGCATGAAGGCACAGCGGTGTACGGCTTCAACCCCAAAACCCTCAGACAGACCATGACTCTGAACCTCAACGACCCGAAAAACTTCAAGCCCCAGCTGAGCGCCAAGGCCTTGGACATCCTGACGTCCCCCGATGTCGGGCTACTGAAGCTGGCCTCGCCGGAGCTGGAGCGGCTGATCATCCAGTCCTGCAATGGGCTCACGACCCCCACCCCGACCCAGTTCGTGTGTCCCAAAAACATCACCGATGAGCAGGAGGGTTTCGCCGAAGGCTTCGTCAGAGCTCTGGCTGAGCTCCACTACCAGCAGCAGATCCCGGTGGTCCACCCTGACGCGCTTACCGGCGCCACCAGCAGCGCGGCATCCGGAGCTGCTGCGTCTGAGGGCGGCGGGATCCCCTACAGCTGCACGGTGCGCAGCGAGCCGCCGGAGTACACCAATCTGGGCAGCTTCGGCCGAGCTGCGAGCACCGCGTCTGCACCTGCCAGCGAGAGGCACCCACCCGCCGCTTACCCGCAACCCTCCCACAACCACATGGATCACCAGCTGGCGGCGGCGCACCAGCACCACACGCGGCCGCACGCCCTCAAGGAGGAGCCGCAGACGGTGCCCGAGATGTCCGGGGACACCCCGCCGCTTTCCCCCATCAACATGGAGAACCAGGAGCGCATCAAAGCCGAGAGGAAGCGCATGCGGAACAGGGTGGCCGCGTCGAAATGCCGGAAAAGGAAGCTGGAGAGGGTGTCCCGGTTGGAGGACAGGGTGAAAAACCTGAAGAGTCAAAACACGGAGCTGGTTTCCTCCGCCAACGTCCTGCGGGACGAGCTGGCCCTGCTCAAACAAAAGGTCATGGACCACGTTAACAGCGGCTGCCAGCTCATCTTGACGCAGCAGCTCCAGGCTTTCTAGACTGCTATAAGGGAAAACAACCGAGTGGCACTTTTTGGGGACCAAATGCAGCTTAAACGGGTCTTTCCGGCCTCACAGAGGAGCCTCAGCCATGTTTCCTCTAATTTCCTACTCAGGCTGGTGATGGTGACTGACAAGAGACTTATAATTGGTCCGTGTAATGAATTAAACGGAACAGAGGCCAGCAGACATAATGCACGATCACAGCTCAGAGGAAACATTTCATATATCACACCATGTAATTTTGTTACATATTTCTGTGTTTTATTGGTTTCTTTAAGAAAAAATTCCATCCAAAACTAGAAAATCTAATTTGTAATTTGTACAAGGAAACATGGCAGGTGTCCACAACAGCTAAATGTCAAATTGACTGTGGCCCACACAGACTTCCATCCTGGCTGGACTGTATCAGAGCTTGTGTGGGATCAGATGGCACATGGAGAGACACACAATGTGAGTCAGACATTGTCCTGCAAATCTCCCACTATGTCCAGTACATGTATACAGACATGAGTCTAGCACTGAGTATCCCACCAGCGAGCAGTCGACATGTACAGATTTAACACTTAAAAACAAAAAGTTTCACACCTTTACGCACGGACTCTTGTAGGTGTGTGTAGCGTTTACTGACAAATACTGCCTTACTTTCTTAACCCCTGTGTTCAAACAGCTTTGTGATATAAGTGTAACTAATGTTAGACCTGAATTAACACTTTGTAATAATATTTCTACGCTGTATTTTCGAGCACTTCGACTGTAAATATGATTAAATAAAACGTTGGACACGCGTTAGTACTTGTGTGTACTGCACAATCAGTGGATGGGATTGAAGTGTATAACATGGGATAATTCAAGTCTGTATGTGAAGTGTTTGTTATTGAAGGAACTGGGCGGACGGGATGTTGAGTCACCAGAGTAGAGAGCGACGTGTGCGTAATGGCTGAAGCTGCGCTGCCTCCTATTGGACAGCGAGGTGTCGGAAGTTGGCTGCAAGCGGCCAAATATGGCAAGAGGTCCTGCGCCAAGCCGTGTGTGTGTGTGAGAGAGTGAGTGAATCACCATCCTCCCACTGCAGCTGGTGTCTCCCAGAAGAAGAAACCAATACAGCAAGAAAGAAAAAATCTGACTTGCTTATACACGTTGGAAGTGTATTGATGTACAGAAAAAAACATATTTAGATAAAAATATGTCGTAAAAATAAAAGATGGATGTTATTTATTTAGACAAGTGCTGTCTGTAAAATTAACCAAATACAAACATTTGTGTAGAAAAAGATACAAATGTATACACATTAAACCTGTACCAGACACAGGTGGTGAACACACACACACACACAATGTGGACCACCGACACTGAGGAAACTGAAAGTTGTAGGAATATTCCTCGCTGTAGGTTTAAGAAAGGCAGGAGGAGTTCGTTTCACTCATGACGATTTTAAAGACCCAACGCACCCACAGTAAAATGACAGAGATGTTTTCACTTACTCCTCCATTAGACCTCCTCTTGGGATACAAACTGCCTGAATGACATCTGTAAAGGAGAGACTGTACCCATCTTCATCAATCTGATTGGCCCATTAAAGCAGACATCACCATAGCATTGACCCCAACTTCAGCCTAACATGAGGTCAAATCAGCCAGATGTCATAAAAACACCAGCATGGATTTTTTCTTTCTCCGTGCAGTATGTTGTGACCTGGTCATGTACACAGTGCTATGTGATTAGATATAGGCTGTAATGTTTTCTTACAGGCTATTGTTATCAATGGCTGTGGTGCATATCTGACAATGTGAACAAGATGAACTGCAGGCAACGCAGCCACACTTCACTTGATTCCTGCTTCAAATCCACACAAACAAAACTCTGTGCAAGTTGGGCCGGAAATAAGATTTTCTTGTCCAGCGCTCTCATAGCTGCAGTAAAATGAAACACAAATATCACATCCTCCCATTTAGAATCTCACTATATGACAGAATTTAAAGTTATGGCTGCTCGACCGTCAAATTGGCTGACTAGACACACAAGAATAAAGCAGCTACAGTGCTTATTTGTCAGCGACTGGCTGTTGGCAGGAGATGGCGGCCCACTCTGTGTCCACTATCCAAATATTTTCTTTCATCCTGCTGTACTCATCCCTTCTCTGTGCAACATTAATGAACATTTTCAGTTTTCGTAATATATTTTTTCTGAACCCACTATAGCTGGTCCATTTGTGTTTGAGGATAAGTTTCACGTTTGGTTCCTGATGAGTTCCACCGTTTATACACATTCCTGCGTCGGTGCTCCTCAGCTGACGTGCACGCCCTCTTTCCCAGCAAGCCGCTGCCGGTGTACGTGGTCTTGTTCTAGTTCTTCGTGGCTGGGGTGCCAGAGCCGCGACAGGATGCGCTCCATGTTTAGGGCATACATGGTGTGGGAGGGCATCACGCCATGGTGAACCTACACCCACAAATGTTACAGAGGATATTAGACCATATAAATGTCTGATGGTTAAATGGTGACATACCAGAAATAAATATTGTGAATACATTCAGTGACAAGCAGCATTTATATAGAACAATTCACAGACACAAACATGTGGAAATGTCTAATAACAAGAAGATACAGACTTTACCTTGTTGAAACACAGTGTTTAATTCTCAGAATCTGTGTCACCCAGTTGTGTTTATTTTTAAAACAATAATTTTCTGTGTGACCAGGTATTAAGTTCAAGTTCATGACTTATAAACAATGTTACTGAGCTCACTGACTGCTACACACTTCTACTTACCCTCCTCTATATTTACTTCTACATATGAAGCCTGTGTTATTACCATCAGGTCTCTTGATTTAGATATTTGTATAGACTAGGGTTGCAATTAATGATAATGTTCTCTATTTATCTTTAGTTGTTAAAAAAGTCTTGAAAGTTGCTTGTTACCCCCAAATAATACATTTTATGTCACTAAAGACTAAAAAAACAGCAGAAATTCCTTAAGAATGAGAAGTTGACTAAACATGTCAGCTGTTCCCTCATCTTGTATCAACAACATCAAGGTTTGGATAGAACATGGATACAAGGAAATTTACAGGTTTACAGTTGATTCGTGACATAAATCTGACAACTGCATTCATTTCATTTAGAAAACAAGTTTGTCCAAATACTTATCATTAGGTATAATGATATATCATTAGGTTCCTTTTGAGTTGTTCCAATCATACAAGGTACGGCTGAAAATGCTTGAACTGGCAACATCTATGAGCACATTTCTCTTACCTGTAACGCCTCCAGGAGATCGAACAAGCTGATTGGAGAGAGTGGCACAGGAAGAATGTCGGCAGAACAAGCCAATAAGTGGACAGCTTGTTGTTCAGCCTCATCAGGTGACACTTGAGGGGGTGGGCCAGCAGGGAGAGAAGCACTTGGAGGAGGACTGCATGAAAGAAAAAAAAAAATCACTGTAAACTGAGTGTGATCAGTATTGTTGGAACTCTTTAGTGACAGCTACAGAAACAAGTATTAACTATGCAGATTACTAGATGGAAATCATGCTAAACAACATTTACAAAGTTTTTCACTTTCAGAGCTTCAAGGGTTTTTATGTTCGCACTAAATCTTTTTCTAATATCAAACATGCACAAAGCGTATAATCTTGTAAGAGCCAGCACAGTAGTTCTTACCATTCAGTAACACTGTTGTAAGCAGCAAGACTGTTTTTCAGATAAGGCTGCGGCGTGACGTCACTGCCAAAGGCGTAAGGGAAATGACCATCCCTTAGCCGATACGCCTTCCTCCGGGTGATTACCGCTGTCAGGACGTCTTTCAGGTGATGCTGAAATAAATCAGAGCAGAAAGTTGAGCTTTAGCCAATCACATAAGAAGTGGTGCACTATATATATATATATATTAGACCAGTGCAGGAAAAACTCAAAACATTTTTGCAGTTGCAGATGCGGATTAACAGACATATCCAGGATGTTTTTTCAGTTTCTTTAACTATGTTTTATGACAAATAAATCGTATAGTCCTTTTTTCTTTTATATTTCTACTACAAGTACCAGACAATCATGTGTAGGGTTGTTTAGCCTTGGTGGAGGTCTGAACTCTAGTTAAATATTTGGTTAGTCATTCTTAAGACAGCAGGACGAAATGTGGTCACATGGTATTGAACCTTTATCAGGATGTGTATATTCATAACACCACTTACATAATTTTGCACAAACTGAAGAAAGTTAGCACTACTAACTAATATTACATATTCCTGGTACTGATCATCCAATCTGCCCAACACACCAACAACCATTTGTACACAACCATGCTCCTGGTGAACAGTTTCTACAAACCTCCACAGCATAGATCATAGTGCTGACAGCATCATCTGTGATGTTGTCCAGGCCCAGCTCAAACGCTGTCACCATCATACGGGCCTCGAGCTGGCCCCGCGTGGGCAGCAGCAGCGTGTGGGCGCTGAGACGCAGATCCTCCTCCTCCCCTCCCGCCTCTCTTGGGCTGAAGGGCTGGGCGGCGCTCAGAGGGTTCTGAGGCTGGAACCGATGCTGAAAATGCAAACAGGACATATAAACATCCAAATGTCAATTGTTCAGACAATTCAAGATTAATTGAATATCAGTAACATTTAAAAATCATACAGCTAAACATTATTTTGGAGACAAGTCGTTTCGAGAGCCCTGATTTGAAACCACTTACATCGAATTTCTGTCTCGAGGAACATTTCTTCTTCCCTTTTGGTTTGCCAGGCTTTGAGGCAGAGCCACCTTGCCACTGTGATGGCCCAGTGCCCTCTAGAGGACAAAATAAAACATAACAGCATATGCTTTAAGACACCTCAATGAAAATACACCAGTTAAAACAGTTTTCCTGTTATTAAAATATTTATAATTTTCAATGTATATTGTTTATTCCTTTCTCTGAAGCAGTGAATCACCACAAAAGTTTTTTTCCTCTATTTACTGATTTCAACACACTTAAGGTTCATGCATGTAAAATAGAAATTCTTTACTCACAGGACACTTCTTACTTTGTCCTCTTTTAGTTGTGTTTATCAAAGATGTGGATACATTTATACTCCTTTTTAACAGCAGCTAGTAAAGTTACAGTATGTTAAGGTATTGTGATTAATAACAATACAGCTTAAAAACAAACTCAAGCTCACATGCAGGTTTAGAGACGTTCCTACCTGGTGTGGAGACGATGATCTGGCAGCGTGTGAGAATGGCCAGGAGGAAATCATTGTGAACATGGACTGCAGAGGAAGAAGAAAAGGGGTAATACAAAATAAGCAACATGTTTATACATGGCACGATCTCTTTTCCAACACAAACAATATTAATGCAGTACTAACCATTCTCCTGTGCCAACAGACGACGGGCCTCAATGTCAAACTCCTCCTTACTGATCTTCTGTTTGAACCATAGTTTCAGATTTGCCCAGTAACTGTACAGAGGCCACACATAGAAAACATCAATAAGATTTATACATAATATTCATTTTAGAAATAACTCTATGCCAAACACAAAGTAGCCGTCACATATCATTATCTCGTGTTTGATTCATCTGTGTACAATTAACCAGCAGCACCGTTATCATTGTCCATCCTTTATTTAATCCTCTTGTTTCTCCTCATGCTAATTGAAGGTACATTTATAAACCTCTCTTTTCATACAAACCTACAACATCACTGAAGTAACAACCACAATGTCCAACACGCAAATGTACGTGTTTGTATCATTTCACCCTGAAAACAAATAGTAAACACTAAACTCGGTGATGCTACCAGTGCTAGCGAGCAGGCTAATGTCGGAATTACTTTGGGTTTTCGCAGCAAACCCACGAACGCGTTCAGAAATTCACCGTGAGAAAGACACAAATCACGCAGACATCACTTCACTCACTGTTTGACGTTATCGCCGATCGCATCGGTTAAATTCTTCTTTGCGATCTCCAGCTCGCTAGCATGAGCCGCCATGGCGTTCATTCGCTCCTGCTCTGACGTCATCGCCCAGCGACTCCGAGTCCCACCGTTTTTTTGTATCTGAAAACTTTATTGCACCGTCAGTGTGAAGTTAATAAAAATTGAGGATATATGGTAAAATATTATTTCACGATTTATAACATATAGATTGTTTCGTCTTCACCAAACAGTATCAGCACCATCAAA